CCTCTGGACAGGGTACTCAAGGTTCTTCATAAAAGTGAGCAAGTGAAGCATCTTTTGAAATTGACCTTGTAGAGCCTTCAATGACCCTTTGAAGAACAAGGTGCAAAAGATTTGCGTTCTGAATGAACAGGAAGGTGCGCAGAATAAAGGCTTCAATTCAACATACAACTATCAACTTCAGAAAAAAAACATACCATGCCCTACAATGGAAAAAAATCTTCACAGAGAAAGGCTGATAAAATGCGAATCTGAAGGTGCGAGCCTGTGCAGAGACCATGAAGGTATGCCGTTCACTTGAGGGGGAGAAAATGCCTAATCATTCTTATTTCAAGGATAAGCTGCAGGCTGAACTGTTGCTTGGATATGCTAAGTTTTTTTCTTTCCTTTTCTCTTTCTTATTTATTTATTTTGCAAATCAAGTAGTGCTACTAAAATCCCATGCCTAATGGAGCAGATGGTAGAGGTCTTAGATTCTGGAACAGCTATAGTGATGCTTCTGAATGCAAAACACCAAAAGTGGATTTCACAGGCTGTGAATGTGATTTGACTTTGATGGAAGCAAAACCTCCCTTTTCACTTAATTTAAACCACACTGAAGGAACGAATGTGTAAATGACACAAGCTAACTAAGAAAAAGGAACACATTAAATATTACTCCTACAAAGTGGTTAAAACAAACAATTACTTGTTTGTGTTATTAGAACATGTATTACAATTGTACATAATTCCACCATCTTAACCTTATTTAAGATTTCATCAGAAGAGCCCAAAATAAGCTAAAACTGATGATTAGAGAAAACAGAAAATGGCCTAAAGGCATCTTGGTTTTCTAAGGTAAGGACTAATCACTGAAATGTATATGGGCCTAGTTATTATGAAGCAGTAGGTCCAGAACATCTCTTGTCAGGTATGTGGGCTGAACCCATGAACAGCCACTGTGGGTAGCTAGAGCTGGTCACGTGTAGCTCAAGGCACCCAGAGGCTATTATAGACCCGTACTTTGAGGCCTCCTCTTTCTCCAAGCATGGTTCAGACTTCACCACAGACCACAGCAGGTACTGTGGAGAAGAAAGACAGACCATATAGTCAGAGAGTGGCTCACCCTTCTGCTAATACGTGAATGCCAGTGGAGAAAATTTAGTGAGACCCATCAAAGTAGGCTATACACAGCAATTTTAGAGTGAATAAAAATAGAAAGAATGCACAAATGGTAATAAGTCTCTGGAGGAAGATTTGAAAATCTCTATTATTCTACTTTATATGGCCAATTCATCTCTTACTTCAGCTTCCTTTTCACGTGGATATAAACTGGATATTAAAAGCAACAGACTATTTTCTCCCTTAAAATCAGTAGATCTACCTCAGGAAAACATGTGCTAGCCTAAAATGTGGTGGGAGGGTAGGGCAGAATGTTACTTGTCTCCTACTATCTATTCTCTGTATCTTCCAGATTTTTTGGCTGGGCACATGGTTTCCTACAATAAAGATTACATTTCCTAGGCTCCCTTACAGGTAGATGTGACATATCATTAAATTCTGGCCAATGGGATGTAAGCAGAAGGATCTCGTATAACTTCTGGAAAATGTTCTTAAAGTGGAGAGACTATTTAATTTATCATCCAAACTGGGACACTTGAGAGTAAAAAGGAATGTTAAAATAATTAAAATTTTATGCTTTTTGAAATATGTATTTATTAACAATTGGTTTTGTTATCTTGGTGGACTCATTAACTAGTTCTATTAAAAGTTAATTTAAAATAAAAATTTCAAAAGAAATAAAAATAACATATATAGGTATATATTAAAATGAGAAAAAGAACTTCTTATATTGACCATTTAAATATTAAAAAATAACAAATAGAATGATTATTCTTGGTATATATTCATGTACCTTACTCCATTTCTTAGCTATATCAGTCTCTAATATTGTGCCACTGGCATATTTCTGAAGAATGTGTTTTTTAAAATATGGTATTTTAAAATAAAATTGCCAGAAATAATCGTCACAGTTGCATTTCATGGTTAATTACTTTGAAATTATTGATATCCTTAATACATTCTTTTTTTAAAACTATTTTATTAATTTAGTTGTTGTTGAGAATATTCTTCAATGGATCCTTCTCAATAGATCATAATATTTTTAGTTTAGTTACTTGGTAGGCTGAGAGAAAATTTGCTAAATGGAGGATATATTTAATTCTAACTATTTTCAAATTTAAAAGTGTAAATTATTCCAGCCCAAATATTTTTGCCTTCATCAGAGTACCTCTCTTTAATAAATATTTTCATAAGATAAAACTTGTGAAATAAGTTATCTCTATGATTCTTTTGAGTGTTTTGCCAAATTTACAGACTTCAACATCTAGGCCTTCTCAATTTCCTTTCATTCATATATGAATATATAAAATTTATCCAAAATAGAACCAACACCAAAAGATTCTTCTCACAGGTGAGATATTCCAAATCATTATTATTGAACTGCAAATTTTAATCTTGTATAGCATTTGAGCTCTCAGTGTTTAATTAATCGAGCAAGCACTATCTTGATTCCTTGAAGAGACAGGAAAAAAAAAAAAAAACAATTTTTAGAATTAACTTAATATTTAACTGTTGGCAAAGTTCTTCTGGCAATGGAGCCATCATATTAAGAGGTATTGCTTCCTTTTTATATGCTTATAAAAACTTGTAATTGAAAATGACTGAAATTAATTTAGAAGAAGTCATTTGATCTAAATAAAAAGTATGCTTCAGAAAGTGGTACATACGTATACCTTCTACAGCTTCATGTGTAAATCATAATCTTCAGGTACATTCTCCTCATAATAACTACTAAATTTTCAAGTAGATCCTAATGCTTTTACAGCAGATTTAACTTTTCTTGTTTTCATGTCCTCAGCAATACTACTAGGCCTCCACCCAAAAACCCAAACTCATTGCCGTCAAGTTGATGCTGACTCATAGCGACCCTACAGGACAGAGTAAAGATGCCTCCATTGGGTTTCCAAGCCTGTAATCTTTATGCAAGCAGACCACCACCTCTTTCCCCCATGGAGTGGCTGGTGGGTTCGAACCATCAGCCTTTCGGTTAGCAGCCAAGTGCTTAAGCACTGTGCCACCAGAGCTCCTTTAGGCCTCCTCAGTAGATAGTAAATATCAACAAACATTTCGTCCAAGTTACACATTCATTATCAACTTTCTCAAGAAACAAAAATTATGTAGTTTTTAAGAATATGAAACATACATTTTTATTTTTTGAGCTTACTACTGCCTAAAAGTTTATTGCAAAAACAAACAAGTGTTGCCTAACACTAAAATAGTTATAGGTTTACACCATACAAGTATGTTCAGTCTACTCTCTACTCACTTTATAGTGGAACTGACCAGACTTGACTTCCCAGACATTTTCTCAGATACCTAAACTATAATTTCCTCTATTTCCCACTGAACTTATCAACTGGAGCCTGGAAGCTTTGTGAATCTTGTAGGCTGTGGCATGGGCCATCACACAACTGGGTGATACACCAAAGGGCCAGCTGGGTCAGCAACATTAATTACTCCTTCCACCACCACCCAAGAGAGGAAAGAGTTGGTTGTCCTGGATGGTTATGTCTGAGTGCACTCTGTTGTATCAATAAGCACGTTCCATTCTGTCCTTAACTGAATGGTGTTAGTTACAGTGTGTCTGAAAAGGGTTGGGAAGAGATGAGTTACTAGTGGTTGTCTTTCAGATTTAACAATATATTAATATGAGAACTCTCTCCACTGTGCATGGGTCTCATATACTATCAGGGTACCCCAGATAAAAACTAAGGCAGAGCTGGAAGTTCAAGCGGAGATGTATCGAACCCATTCTGGCTTATTCTAACTAAAATAATTACAAAATTCTCCGTTAAAAAATTAAAAGATCAGGACAAATGCTAAATCAGATAGGATTCTAAGACAACAGACTTACATCGAGTCTGTCCCTAACAAACCAGAAAATACACTCTTTGTTCCTAATGACTAGGGTGAGGACATGATGGCAGGTCAAGCCACCATATTGGGCCATGAGGTGGTAAGATAAGGGTGGCAGAGCAGTAAGACAGGAGCCTGGGTCCCTGACTTTGTAGAATCACCATACCAATCTTGGACTGCCTACTTCTAGAATTTTTTATGAGAGGGAAAAAAATCCTGTTTTGTTTAGGCCACCGTTTTCTTACAGTCAAACCTAATCCTAACCGATATTTAGGGATTACCTCTACAACCTTTCTAGAAAGCAGCTTGACAATGTATATCAAGAATACTAAACATTTTTCATCCCTTTGAACCACTTCTAGGTATTTATCTTAAGGAAATAATCTGGAATGAAGAAAAAATGATGTATAAAAAAATGCTTAGTTGCAGTTATTTATGATTGTAAAAATTTAGAAGCAGTCTAAACGTCCAAAGATGAGGAAGGTTTTAATAAATGGTATCACACTGAATACCACGCAGTCATTAGAAAGTTTATGAAAAATACTAACAGCATCAGAAAATGCCCACATCATAATATAAAGTGGGGGGAAAAAGGGCAGGATAAAAAATAACTTATACATAGCAAATTCTCACCTATGTAAAAAAAAATCCAGATACATAAACGTATGAATGAATAATAACAACAAAAAGACTAAAAGGAAATACACATCAAAATATTAAATAACAATGATTATCTTTGGATAGTGAGATTATAGGTAATATTTATTTATATCTTCTTTAGTTTGAATATTTAAAACTATGCTATAATATATAATTTCATCTATAATCAGAAAAAAGTGAAAGAAATTAATTTCAAAACTCTGTTTCAGCCTTTACCAGTTTTACCTAGTGGTGATATGCCATCATTGCCATCAGCAGGACATATTCACTGAGCATCCAGCTATTGGGAGTTGTGGCAGCAGGGCGCACAGACCTTTGTGTCTCCAGTGGTCAACAAATAGCTGCATGAAGGCCATCTAGACACAGCCAACCCTGCCCGGCTTTACCTTGGTGTTCTGTAGTAGAGCTAGTCCATTGCAGGCATTTGCTAGAAGAAAGTCTCCACTCAGGATAGCTATTTTATTCCCAAATTGCATGTCTTTCCGTGGCCCATCAGAAGACTGCAATTCATTTAAATTTACTATCCCACGATGTACAAGGAGAGCAGTATGGATAAGTTCTGTGATCTCTGCCAAACTTCTTTGACTAAAACATAAAAGTAAGACGTTTCAGTGTAGAACAGAAAGTCAGTATACCATTTTATCAGTAATGTCAGACATGGGGTATCAACAATAAAATATTTCATGGATTACTCCTTTTTTTAAAGATTATTCCTTTTTAATGAAGCTTTTAATAGAAGCCTCTCCACTGAGCAGTTTGGGATCTGTAAGCAGATCTTAATACCCTCCTTCTTTATAACACCCTCACTGTCTACCCCACGAGCCACCAGGATTCCTCAGAGAGAAGCTGGCCAGTGGAGGGCCATCCTCCACAGTTACATTCAGATACTTTGCTTTGATCTGTCCACTTTCCTCTAACATTTCTCCAAATTTTCCAGCACCCTAAGTTTCAGAAAACAGGGTGGCAGACATTGCTAGTTACCTATCCATTCTTTCCTTCCTCTCACTACTAACACACTTTTGATTATATTTGGAGTGGCAATATACTCAGTTAAAAATATTCACCTCCCCAGTGTCCCCTGGTGCTAGAGGGATCATGTGAACAGTCTGGCCAATGAAACGTAAGCAGAAGTCTATTAGGTGAGGATTCTGATAAAGCTACTGTCTTTCTGATATGAAAGGACAGTCTCAGTTGGTGTTTACCTTTGGCTTTTTGGGCTTACCTCTTTCTTTTTCCTGTTTGGAAGGCACCATAAAGACTGAAGGACCCTAAAGCCCTAAAGAAGGTCCCTAACCTAAGGACGGTAGAGCAAAAAGAAAGGAGAAGCCTGGCCTCTGATAACTTCTTTGATGGGCTCCACCAGCTGTGATATGTCCACCTCTAGACTTCTTATTATCTGAGATAAATAAACCCTGAATTCTTTTCAGCCACCACTTGTTAGAGTCCTGCTACAAGAGATAAAATAAATAAAGTAATAAGTTCCTGAAAGACATAATCAATAAAAACCATGCCATAAAAATGATAAAAGACATTTTACATTCCTATTTCTGCACCCTGGTATTCTCACTTAATATAAACTCTTGGAGGTAGTTCCACATTCTTTACAAATAGAAAACCTCCTCATTCTATTTAACATCTCTACAGAGGTCTGCTGTATGTGTGTGCCATACAACTTTTGCTGCTATAGGTTGAGTGATCAATATATTTTTGTTTAAAGAATTTTTAAGAATTAGCCTAAGTGTCACCTCTTCTGTGAAGTCTTCTCTCACTTCCCCAGAGTTAACCCCTTCTTCTGTGCTTGAAAGCATTTGAACATAGCTCCATCATTTACCATACTATACTGTAATTCTTTCTTTAACCATCTATCTCCTTGCTACTCCTTCCCTCACTACACTGTAAATTATACACCCTATTTCCTAGGCTGCTTATAAATATTTGTTAAATGAACAACTCTTTACTTAGCAATAAATTTTATAAAAGCTTCGGGAGGTTATATCATTTTTAGTTTAAAAAGGGAAGGAATCATATGAACTAAAAAAATCAGCCTTATAGAATTAGAGTTGGAAGTGATCCCAGATGTCAATTAGCCTCCAACTAGCCCCTTCCAGGAGGTAGGTCTGCTAATAAATAGTTTTAATTATTAGAAGTTGTTCCTTATAGTAACTTGAAATCTCTCATTTCTTAAAGTGTTTTACATCAAAGTTGGTATTAAAATAGTAGAAGGGCAATTATGTTCCACCACACAGGAAGGGAAGCAAAACAGAAATGACAGTGGGAGGCTTCTTTCTCATTCTATTTTTTCCTTTTTCTTTCTCCTCACTGCCATTCTCAAGAGGTCCAAAAAAAAATATAGTAAGGTACAGAGAACAATATAACAAATACATATATCTTCCACTTACAAGTAACCAATGCATACACTTGCTTATTTTTAAGTTTTTAAAGATGCATTTTTAATTTTTTAAAATTTTATTGTTGTACTTTAAGTGAAAGTTTACAATTCAAGTTAGTCTCTCATACAAAAATTTATACATACATTGTTATGTGACCCTAATTGCTCTCCCTACACT